TCTTCAGCCTCCAGGGCAGTGGCAGGCATGGTCAGAGGCAAAAGAGCAATGGATGTGAGTCTTGCCTTCCAGTTACACAAAAGTCAGAGGCTTCTGCTCCAACAACAAACTTATCTCTCGATTCAGACAAGCAAGAGGCGTTATCACAGCTCCATGACACATTCCAACCAGGCAAAAACACTTAAAGAGGATGCAAAGGAGAAGGATCAGGGTCTGTGAGGCCACTGAGGTGTATGGTCTGAAGAAAGTCCTATGGGTTGGATAGAAGGACTGGAGCGGCCAAGGTTTCGTACTCCTGCTCTAAAGAGAAGTCGGTTTGCAAGGTAGACTTTAGGCTCTAGTTAGCATCCTTTTTTGCAACCTGATTACGGCATCTCCTCAACTTTATTGAAGTTCTTCTTCACGGCAAGCCTAGTCTCTCTAATCACGTTTAGAGTAAGCCCACTGAAAGTAATGGACATGACAAATGTAGGGCAAATAATTTCGGTGAGTCTGCTCTGAGTAGAACTCAGTTGGATACAAGTCACTAATTAGCAAATTTTAGACATGGGCTGAATTTGTCCTGCAGTTACAGAATTGCAGTCCTATGTCAAAGTATTATCCTGGGATACAAGAGAATATAAGAGTAAAAGGAAAGGTGTTGCATAACAGATTGCTCTGAGCCATCTCTCTAAGAGTTATTGGGATGATATGTTCCACGACATCACCCAGCTTTATAAACATTCCCCTAATACACTTTCAATTGCCTTACAGATGCTATAAAACAGAGTGTGAGTTGATTCCTGCCATATGGAGCCCTGGTTGACCTCTCTCAAGAATAGTGGGCTTACAAAGTTGCCTGACCTGTGAACTTGTTGTTAATCAGCATGCCAAATAAACATGCAATCCTTTCTCTTTATCTTTTTTGTCTGGTCCACTTTGCTTTGAAAGGAAACAAAGCAGTTGTTTCTCTTTAATATCTCTTATGTGATGCCACAACTAAATTTTCTAAAACTTGGAAGATTTGAAGTAAAAGGTGGTACTCAGTGATGTTTTTCCTCAGTGCATACCCATTAAAATGAAGAAACACAACTAAGTTTGGTCTATTAATTTCAGCAAGTCCACCATGAGTAAAACATAGCAGTTCAAAATAGTTAAATACCATACTCAGTGCAAACACTTTGAAAATTAGTACTAAATTATCTTCCTTAGTCATTGGTTGTTTTTTTTACACAAACTTGTTATGAAGGTCCCAAGTATAAATGTATTAGCATTAGAGAAATAATGTATTGATATGGAACAAAATAAACTTCTGAAGGAAGGAAGGAATGTTATGGGCAAGATTCACCTAAAGAGACTTTCTGGTAGCAGTCCTGTGCAAGGACTTCTGCTTGCACAATGGGGTTTTCACACCCCTGAATAATGTGCAGGGGAGGAGAAGGGGGTTCATTCTGTCTAGCAAGCTGAAATGCATGTATAGAAGGAGTTACTGAAAGTGTGTGTTGAATTCCACCCTATATTTCTATGTTCAGAGCATACATTTGTGATCGCACTGTTAGGCTATAGATGAATCACACATACAGAGTTCTGGCAGAATTTAGTGTTCCAAACCTCCCTGTCCAAAGAGGTGATTAGTGGGATTTCATCTTTGTTCAGTGGACTGTGAGAGCATACCCCTGGGTACCAAATCAGATAGAGGAACTGTGTGTACAGAACTTATTTACATAAGTGTTTTCCCATTGAGGTATTGTACTTCCCACTTCCCTCCATATATGTTTTATAGCCCCTAGCACAGGCATAGGCAAACTCGGCCCTCCAGATGTTTTGGGACTACAACTCCCATCGTCCCTGACCACTGGTCCTGGTAGCTAGGAATGATGGGAGTTGTAGTCCCAGAACACCTGGAGAGCCGAGTTTGCCTATGCCTGCCCTAGCAGAATCAGGACAATAGAATCTAAACTGTCCCAAAAGCTAAGAGCAGATTGTATCTAATTGTAAACAACACAGCATATTTATTTGTACATGCGTTTCTAAGTGGATTTGTGCATTTTATTTAATATAATTAAAATATTCCATAGGCCATGCAACATAAAGCTTAGGCCAGCTCAATTAAAATAAATGGTACTTGCACAAGATCACATTGCTTGTCAGTCAGACATAGAAAAGTTCACTTTTACATTCAATATGGCTTTTATATGATAACATATTATCAGTTCTAGGTGGTGAGCTACTTAAGTAGCTCCTTCAAATAAATGAGTGGCATACATACAGAAAGAAAACATGCATAACGTTTTATGAAATAGGATTGTAGTCAGTTAAGCAGGGCTTTTTTTCAGCTGGAACTCACCAGAACTCAGTTCCGGCACCTCTCAGGTGGGCACCATTGCCATTCTAAGAGAATAGGGCATTCATGATGAGTTCCAGCACCTCTTTTTCCAGAAAAATAGCACTGAGTGTAAGCCCTATTCAAAGTAGACCTATTGAACACAACAAAAATACGGCTTCATTTCATTGAGTCTACTCTAAGTAAAACTTAAGATGAATGCAACTTATAGAGCATACTGTATGTAGGCTCTATTTCTATCAGAAATAAAGGATTAAAATCTATACCTGTAATATTCATTGCAACCAAAACTGCTATCACATATGACTGGCTTTGGCCAATGAGAACACTTGACAAATGTAGCCCATACTATTGGTGTCCCTTTAGACCAGGCTTCCTCAACCTCGGCCCACCAGATGTTTTTGGCCTACAACTCCCATGATCCCTAGCTAGCAGGAGCAGTGGTCAGGGATGATGGGAATTGTAGTCTCAAAACATCTGGAGGGCCAGGTTGAGGCAGCCTGCATTATAACCTTGCAAATAACAATATTTATTCTTGTGATATTTTAAGCCCCTCCCAGTAAACCATCTTCATTCTTGCAAGCACAATGCATTCATGCAAGAAAGACTACAGTTTAAGTGCACTAAAGAGTACAGAACCCATGATGCAGTGTAGAAGGAGAAGAAGAATTTGGGCCTTTAACTGATTTGAGCAACTGGCAGTACTGAAGTAATGGCAGCACAAATGAAATTCAAAAATTCAGATGGATTTGCGTTTATGTGATAATCTGCTGCACTGGGTCAGAAATAGGAGCTGAAAATAAAATTCAGTTATTAGACTTTGCAGAAACAAAGAATCAGAATGTCAAGAGAAGGGAATGTGGAGTCCTTTATAAAAGTAACCAAAAAAAAGCAGTTCTGTCTTTAGCTTTCTGTCGTCCAGCACAGCTATATTGAACCAATTGTGGTTGATCACTAAAATATGAAATGCTTTATTAATGATGAGAAAATTTGTTCCCTGAAGTGTGTCCCAAAGAGAGTTTCAAGTTATTGAGAAAGGGTCACTACTATCCACTCTATTGTAGAATCCAGGAAAATGAATATTGTTGTTTTTAATTGAATTTCCCATAAAGGCAATCTACCTCTTATAACTGAGAAGTTTCCTTTTAATTTACAACAAACCCAGATAGTCTTCTAGGCAGCTCACAGAGATGTTGTTCAAAACTATTGAAATGATTCTTAACCAAATGTTACCTTTAATGCAGCACTAAAGTGAGCGCTCAAAATGTGTGATGTTTTTCAAGATAAAGGGGTGGGATGTTATGTGTGGGAGGGCAGTGATGACTGCTTCACAGGCAGTGGGGGGATGAAGTATTAGTAGTTCAAATCTATGCACAGCAATGAAAAACGCCTGTTTCAGATGCTCTAAAATGGTCCATAGAACTATTTCTGTGAATGCAGCCACAGATAAGTACTACTTCCTAAAGCTAATAAATATGCAATTCATTGTGCTTGTGTGGATTAGCACTGGAAAATAGTGCATGATCATATGGTTGTGTTCATGAAATTGAACTTGGTCTTCCTTCAGTATTGAAGGAACACCTTCAATTCAAGCACTTGAAACTACCCTGGTGTGGTTTTTTTTTGAGCCTGATAGCTTTCCTTCCGGAGGCTTACATCCATTTTTGCAATGTTTGGGATATGTCTTAGTTTTTGAAATTTGGCTGCTCCATTTGAATCTTGTTGTAGAAGAAATGAAATTAGAGAGAAATGTACTTAAGTGATATTTTCCCCAGAGCAACTCTGGCTTTTTCTGACGAGACCCTATGGGAAGAACAGCTCCTTTCAAAATGCTAGCCTTAAAAAATCAGATTCTGCTGCACACACGAATCTGATGTTGATTTTTAAGGAGAATTCCTGCTGGAATGAGAGATAATTGTTTCAAAAAGTATCTGGGCATCATGTATTTATTTGCACTGTGTAATGGACCTGATATTTCTAGGGAGCAGACATAAGTGGTTTCAGGTCCCTTCGTTTTTGTATTTACGTTAAAGAACAGTGAATTTCCATTCCTGTTTCTATGCAGTTCTATGCAGTTGTCAGAGCCCACGGATTGACAGAAGCCTATAAAGCCCGAAGGGTTTCAAAGTGCCTAAGTGCCTAAAATCCTCACTTCCACTTCTTGTTCTAGTTACAATTCATTTTGCTGCCTTAGCTTTCCTGATTTCCGCCAATATGCTTGTCTTGCAGCAACACGTGCATCCTTAAATCCTACTTTGATATGATTCAATTATAGTCTGAAGGAGAGGAAAGTTTCTTGACTATGTAAACAGACCCCATTCCTCTGCAAAACATATGGGGGGAAATGTAATATGTGGCCTGATGCAGGCACTAGTTAGGTCCATCATCATGCAAGCTGTAAAAATATTAATGGAATTGGCTGCAGGCCATGCCTATTATTGCCCAAAATTACATATTACTATGTTTTACATGAGTGTGCACCAGGGAAGCCAGGATATGATTATTGATTCAACCAGTTGACAACTTTTATACCCTGCCTTTCCATTTAGAAATGCTCAAGGCTGCTTATAACTAGGCAATTAGTCAACAGAAATAAAGACTATTAAAATAAATATTTAAAGTCATCCTCATGCATCATCACGATGAAGAGGCCTCCCCACAAGATTATAAGCGAAGGGCTCTAGCTCAACTGGAGAGCATCTGCTTTGCAGGCAGAGGGTTCCAGGTTCAGTCCCTGGCATCTACAGGTAAAACTGGGATGGAACTCTGTCTTAAGCTCCTCCCAGTTAGTATAGACAGTACTGAGGTAGATGGAGCAATGCTTTGACTCTGTATAAGGCCGCTTCCTATGTTCTGGTGTGTCCAGGATTCGATTATATATTTATTTTATTTATACACTAATAATAGTACACATTACTTGGCCAAAGATCTGTATTGCAAAATTCAGAGAAGTGCAGATTTTAAAGGATGGCTGTGTTTTACTTTGTGCATCATTTGTAAAGTATGACTTGAGTATGTTGAGCTTACAGCATGAAGTTTAGTTGGTGCTGGAATGATGGTTGCTCTCAACCATTGCCAAATTTAGAGTTCATTTAAAAAACAAACAAACCAAAAAACCTCAGACCAAAGGCTTGTATTCCACTGTGTGCTTCCAGTCACAGGAGACTCTTTGATCCAGCAGATGTTTCAGGGAATGAAAGGTGGGATGTGATTTTTGCTAATTCACTCTTCCCTCCTGCATTGGCCCCGAAACCTGATCCAAATGATTTGGGGATCCTTTGCAGAAGGAAAGAAGAAAGTCTGAAGAGTGACTCCACCTACTTTCTGCTGAAGCAAGCCTCCACTACATCAAAGAGCCTTCCCTGAATGGAAGGACAGTTAGATACCTCCCAATGTATGGGATAAACCTTTGGAATTTGTGACACAATTAAAACAAGAATCACCACCAACACCAACAAGGCAGTCAAGTTTTTGACATTTTGGGTGTTATGTGGGACATTGGAACCTTTGGGAAATTGTTGGTTTACCAGTGCAGGTGGTCTTCCAGTCATCAGAAATGAATGATAAATAAGACATCATTTTACATTCTGAATCAAGTGCTAAACTAGCCAATCTGTCCATAAGCCCTTTCAAACCCATAATTCCCACCTGACCACGGTTATTTGCCAGAGCATTGATGTTTCCCAACAATGGTTCAGGTACAGATTCTCATTTTCACAAGTTAGACAAGACAGGAAGGACCTCAGGATATGCTTCTGTGAAGGTAGAATGCCCTGTTGGATTTCCATCTGTTTCTGCATTCTGAATTGACAATGTAGGACCCATCATTCCCACCCATTTCACATTTCCTCCATCTGTTGCCATTGCCAGATGTTCAGCTCTGACCACAAGACAGTGCAAACATGCTCAGTGCTGGCCTTTTGTGAATATTTTCTGTTAATCTGACAGAACTGAATCTCCTGGGAGATTCTGCAGCAAAAAGAACCCTTTCCCCCATGGAGGCTGAATTATGTAACTTGAAAAAACCCATTATGAAATCCTGGGGAAAGAGAAGTTGCCAGTCACCTTGCATTTTCTGAGTCTCTTGAGCCAAGCAAACATAATGTTAGTTGTTATAAATTAATGCAGAAAGTGGGGGGGGGGGAGAGAAAATCATGATTAAAATGGATATGACTATTGGAGCAGAGAATGCTTTCCTAATATACATATTAAACTATTCCACGAGGGAAAAATCCAGAACAACTTAGCATTTGAAACATGCTGGAACTGTTTTTAACTAGTTTGCTTTAAAAACAAATCTCTGTTTCGTATTACATTGCATCGCTGAATTATTATTATTATTTTCTACACTTCCAGATACCTGAATTATGCGGTCCAACCTGCTTCTACAAATACCAAATTAATGTTCATTTATTTCTCCACTTGTACAGCCTAGACTGCATTACAACTTTATCAATTGGTCTTTTTTAATAGAGAAAGCTATTTCGATCCAATTTTGTATGTCATGTTACAGATAAATGAAAGCAAAGACCCCCCTGTATTGTATGTGAAATCTCTAATATCATGGCTCTAGTGTAATGCCTTAGACAATCAAGCTAAATATGTCAAGGGACTTTTTAATGCGCTGCATTGATGAAGCAAGGGTATTAAATTTATTCAACCATGAAGAAGACTTTGATTATCACACACCTCAGCCGTACTAGTATGTTGACCAGGAGAGAGAGAGAAAAAAATAGAAAATGAAATGTGATTAGTTCCTGATGGGTTTAAATTCCTTTTCTACACGTGGCATGGAGTGAATTCATATTACCAGCTTCTATCAAGATCCCCCCCCCGCCCCCAATATCTCATCTGCAACACAGCAAATCCGTTTGATAACATTCTTATCAATATCTGAATAGAAAACATATGGCATAGTGCAATTATTGTCACCTTATTATTTGCTCACTTAAGTGGGAGATCCATTGTGCTCTATCTGAGTCTGGTAAATAGCCATAGCAATTATAACTTCAGATAAGATTGGCTGCAAATGTATTGTGGTCTCTTGCTCTCTTTTTTTGTCAATATACTTCACAGTACAGATTCTGAAAACTGATAAGTTAAGAGATATTTTTTCAAAAAAAACCACACACACACAAATTATTTTGCAGTTGAAGCTTAACAAAAAGCCTATTTTTAAAAGCTTAGTAAAGGTGGGTGGGGGGAGAGCCATAATGCGTTTGAGTGAGACATGATTATAATACGTTTAAACCCATTGTCAGAAAACGGGGAAATTATGGGCAAGTTTAAAAGCCTGATAATTATAGAGTCACCTAGTTTTGGCAGCACTGTAATATTCATTTTCTTGTTTCTTAGACAGATCCTGGATTTGGAAGATTTAGGGAGAGCAGAATGTTAAAAGAGATGCTTGCAGCACAGATTTTGCTGCTGAAGTCTAATATGGTGCCATTATTTCTCACACACCGTTTGTGAGGATCTCTAAATGGTGAAAGATGGACAGCTTCATGAAATTCTCTAAAAGTGTGAAATAAGTTTCAGCATTAACTGTTGCCACTATACCTTAAGTTAGTGTTATAATGAAGAAGAAGAAGAGTTTGGATTTGATATCCCGCTTTATCACTACCCTAAGGAGTCTCAAAGCGGCTCACAACCTCCTTTCCCTTCCTCCCAACAACAAACACTCTGTGAGGTGAGTGAGGCTAAGAGACTTCAGAGAAGTGTGACTAGCCCAAGGTCACCCAGCAGCTGCAGGTGGAGGAGCGGGGAAGTGAACCCGGTTCACCAGATTACGAGTCCACCGCTCTTAACCACTGCACCACATCTTAATCAACCATGGTTTATCCTGATGGGAACAAACCTAGCCTCCTTCCGACTCCTCTTGCCCCTCCAGGCATGGCCAAACTTGGCCCTCCAGCGGTTTGGGGACTACAAACAACTCCCGTCATCCCTAGCTAACAGGACCAGTGGTCAGGGATGATGGGAATTGTAGTCCCAAAACAGCTGGAGGGCCAAGTTTGGCCATGCCTGTGGGCCTAGACTATGAGGAGGATTTTAGGAGATATTGCTGCTATTTGGGATCAATTGCATGTTAAGTTATTTCTGAACCCCCAACTTTGACCAATCTCAACTCTGGTTAGTTGAAACAAGTCAGTTACATAAACTGGGATATGAAGCTGGCTTGTTTCAAACATCTCATGGTTAAGATTAGCCACAGCTTGTCAGGTTGGAATAATATGAAGGCCGTAGTTAATAATAATAAAAATGGACTCTTTCTTGTGACTGAGATGAAGTAATGGAGGAGATCAGGAATCATGTGAGCCCAGGGAGGCTAGGCTAAACCACAGGCTAAACTACAGGATAAACCATAGTTTATCAGGGCACTACTCCCAATCTAATGATGACTATTTATTGCATTTCTATCCCAACTTGCCTCAAAGGAACTCATGGCGGCATACATGGTCCTCCATCTCCCTTCCCTTATCCTGTGAGGTAGGTTAGGCTGAGAGAAAGTGACCAGCCCAAGGTCAGCCAGTGATCTTCATGGATGAGGGGAACAAGAATCTGCTCTCCCAGGTTGGAGCCTAACACTCTAAACTCTACACAAAACACTGACATTGATAGTGTTGTTGTTTGAAAGTACTATGTCTGCATTCTTTCACCCCCTTTAGCCCAGTTTTGTGACCTAATGAGGATGCTAAAACAAATATTTAAAATAAATGTTGATATGCGCTGATATGGCTTAAAAATAGTTGCAGAAATGAAAGTGTCATAGTCCACTAATGCAAATTAAATTCTCTTTTTATGACCCTGTGCAGGTGCATGCCTGTTCTGAAATGGCTTTGTGGTTGTGTGCTGATGTGCATATACACCTGAGTGTGTCTCTGTAGCTCTTTAGAACATTTATATGCTTTTAAAGCATCAGCTAGAGCAATTTCCATCATACTTTTTCAAGTGCATGAAACGTTCATAAAACTTGGCCACCAGTTTGGCTTCTTGCTTCCAAATCTGTGCTGTGATTTTTCTAGTTCCCTGGAGGCATTGAAAATAGATATTGAGGTTAGTGAAACCTTAAACCAAAAATAGAGGACAGGTTTTAATATGTCAGTAATGTAACCACCTCAACTCCAATTTTTTCCTCTTGAGTTCCTCCCTTTTTAGCCTCATTTTAGCTTCCCTTTTTAGCCTCATTTTAGCTCCAGAGAAGCGGACACGGAGCAATGGATCCAAACTACAAGAAAGAAGATTCCACCTAAACATTAGGAAGAACTTCCTGACAGTAAGAGCTGTTCGACAGTGGAATTTGCTGCCAAGGAGTGTGGTGGAGTCTCCTTCTTTGGAGGTCTTTAAGCAGAGGCTTGACAACCATATGTCAGGAGTGCTCTGATGGTGTTTCCTGCTTGGCAGGGGTTGGACTCGATGGCCCTTGTGGTCTCTTCCAACTCTATGATTCTATGATTCATTCCAAAAAAACTTGATATTGTAAATGAATTCTGCAAAGCGTGTTCTCCAATAAATGAGAGCACGTGTTGCGGTGTGGGCCACCGGGCCAGGCCTCTTGTTGCCAGGCAGGTTAATAGTTGTTGCCTGGCATTGTGATTGGATAACCGGGTTGCTGGGGCAAATTGTATGTTGCAAATTGGGTGGGTGGGACCATAGTCTTTAAATATTGGTGCACTCTGGTTTCTCTTTCTCTTTGCAGAGTGCATCGGATCAGGAGCAATCTTCTCAGTGTCTGGTTACATGTCTTTATTTCCCCCCTTCTATTTAATCCTCTCTAGTCCCTTAATTAATTTAATTCCCCTTTTTTCCTGTTTGATTTCTCACCCTACCCCTTTCCCTGCCCTGTGGGAAGATTCTCCCTGTACCTGTGAGCGCTGCCTGTGCGTAATCCTCCTGGGCTTGCCTTTCCCAATAGGGAGAGAGCCCCCATTAGGGGCTTTCTTTTGCAAAGAGGTTTTCCCCATTTTTGCCTGTTTAATTGTGGGGCTAGTCAGGGCTGTTCCCAGCTTAGCTGGAATCACTTCGTTTATAGTATCCCCAAAGGTGGCTTTATTTTGGGTGCATGCAGTGCTGTTGGCTGAGTTTTAATTTAGCCTTGGGCGGGAGCACTATATTGAGTTCCTTTAATATTGCAATGAGACAATAAAAGGCAGAGAGCAGAAGCAGGGAGGCCTTCACGGCCTGCTCGGCCTGCACATACCATTCAAGCCTAAGCCTGCTACAGTTAGCAGTACAGTAATTGTTAAGTCTCTCTGACATGTGACTCACTTTCTCTATAAGAATTTATCTGTTTGTTTGCAGGCTCACTTGTTGCTAATGTATATCTTAGGCAGACAGAGTGGAGCCAGAGGCTCTCTGTGCCTCCAGTGAGCACTCTGTGTATGCTCTTTAACTATGCTGTTTCAGAACAAGTTTATTTTCTTCAAGTTTGTTTTGCCCTGATAGTGGCAATTGCCATTTTAGAGACGAGCCATTGTGGCTTAGTGGCTAGAGCGCAGTACTAGGACCTGGGAGACAGGGTTCATATCCCCCACTTAGCCATTGTTATCACAAAACAAAACAAGCTGCTCCTTTTGGACTATTCTGTTGCTGGGTAGTTCGGCCCACTTGTGATATTGCTCCCAAAAAGAACTTTGGGTTTTCTTGAGGAGGTGCTTCCCTCTAAAGGGCAAACAGGGGTACCTGGACAGGCGGTGGGCTGCCTCGAATTTGTTATCTCATTGGAAACATTTATGTCTGGCCTAGCAGGTGATCTTAGGGCTTGGCCCTAGAATTTGATGGCCTCTGGCAGCGTTTCTGGCCTGAATAGCTTCCCCATGTGGTGCACAAAGCATTGGTTTCACCAGTTCCTCACATTTAGTTTTGCAGACTATGACAGAGCCTTTGCAGATGCCTCCAGAGCTTGCCTCTCCTGCAGAGGTTGACTTGCTGATGCCCTAGGTGCCTTCTTCCAGAAGGAAGCGTCTTCGGAGGCGGCGATCCAGGAGCAGGGAAAAGGGGAGCAGGGATGATGCTTACACCTCCTTGCAGGTACGTCAAACCTGGGTCTTTAGGGATCATCCTGGATAGCTCAGCTGGTCAGCGTATGGTGCCGGTAATACCTAGGTTGCAGTCTTGGTCCCTGTATGGAACAGCTGCATGTTCCCCCATCACTCTACCCGGTCACTGAGGTCCAGCGCCGAGGGCCTTCTGGTGGTTCCCTCACTGAGAGGCCAAGTTACAGGGCACCATGTGGAGGACCTTCTCGGTAGTGGCACCCGCCATGTGGTACGCCCTCCCATCAGATGTCTACTACCAGACTTTTAGAAGACATCTAAGGCAGCCCTGTTTAGGGAAGCCTTTAATGTTTGCTGCATTACTGTATTTCAATCTTTTGTTGGAAGCTGCCCAGAGTGGCTGGGGAACAAATAGATGATGATGATGATGATGATTATATTGTGGGAGAGTGGACCAGATGATCCTCAGGGTCCCTTCCACCCCACTATTCTTTACGTTGCAATTCAATATGGGAATGCAGGGCTGCCATCATCCCCTCAGCTTGCTAGGATCGCAGGGACGGGGACATGTGGACCACTTGTGCAGCTCCACATTTCAAATGGAAATTCCCTGAGCTATAGAACCTTAAGCTGGTATGCAGGAAGCTGGCCCGGCAGCAGCTTTGTTGGGACTTTTTAGGGTTTCTGGCCGGCGTTGGCCCTGCAAATTTACACATCATGGTGGCAACACAAGGCAGGGCATTTTGCCCAATGTGGGGGCTGGGGGCTAGCAAGCAATAACTCAATACCTCTCGCCCATATTTCCATAAAAATACCTTCCTTGAAAGCCTGGCCAAATGGTTATCTAGATAGGTCAGTGGTTTTGTGCTTGTGGGAAGGGTTTTCCCAAGGTTTGGGATTCCTCTGGCTCTTCAGCCAGTGGCTCAGAATACAGCAACTCAAAGCCAGTCAGAGAGCTACCTGTGGTAGCAAGTAAGAAAGTTAGGAAGCAGCTTTCATTGGGACGTATGGTGGTATCCCCTTGATTCTCCTGCTATTCCTATTTTCATTTATCCCCTTTGAGGATCGTCCCTAAGAAAGCCCCATATAATCCCCCATATAATTTATCGCATCCCAAAGGCACCTCAGTGAATGACTCTCTGGAATTGTTCCACAAAATATGCATCTTTGGATCAGGCAGTTGAGCTTACCAACATATTGGAAGAGGGCCTTGTTGGCATTATGCGATATTGAATTGGCTGTTCGGCTGTTCGGCTGCTGCCAAGATTATAAGTAGTTGGGCTTAATTGGATGGTCCTTACACTTATAAGGCGATGCCAATGGGTTGCGCTATAGGCTGTGCAGCACTCGAGTCCTTTAGCATCTTTCTGGATTGAACATTGCGAATCAAGACTCGTTTAACTGGGGGTACCATTATTTGGATTATCTTACTAGCTGGTTCATGTGACACCAGCCTCTGCTAAGGCTTACTGTACGCCCCTTTTATTCCCTGAGGAGCTGGGTGTTCCCAGTGGATAGGACAGTGGCTCCTACTGCCCCTTTTAACGTATTTGGGGGCTAGCTGGATACCGTTGCTCATACCTCTGCTTGCCTGTGGAAAAGCTGTTTGCCGTGAAGGACGTTATTCTTGTAATACTTCCTCTGATAGCAAATGTTGCTTTGTCAGATTCTATCATTGCTAGGTCAGTTTAAAAAAAAAAAATGGCATGCAGGGTGGTTGTTCCAGGCTGCCCCTTCTATTCCTGCTTGGCCAGGTGGGGTCTCATGGCCCAGGGTCCCTTCATCATCCTGTACAGTGGCCTTGAGCCTGGCAGGGCAAGGCAATCACATGTGACCTAACTTTTCTTGAGTTTTCCCCATTGTAGTCTCAGCGCACATCTGGACTGAGGAGTACAGGGACCATCGGGTCTGTCTTGGTTTGATAACCAGGCAGTGTGAGGGTCCTGGCAAAATGGTCCTCATTCTTCAGCAGAGTCTCCGCCCCCCTTTTATGTGCTTTCCAGCTGCACTGCTTAAGGTTTAATATTGCGTTTCTGCTCGCTTTATTACGGGATCATCTAATGTTTTCGCTGTCACTCTATCCCGTTTTCAGTTGGAGAGCTTCAGATCCTGGCCTCTGGATGCCCAGCTATAGCTGGATTTTCTGGAGCTCCTGTGGCGCTTTGGCAACAATTGATAATTAAGAGGAGTAGTAGCTTACATTTCCCCTTCTGCTTTCAGGCCTGGACTGATTTCTTAGCATTTAGCTGGCAGTCCTCGGCCATTCAGAGGAACTTGCCTCCATCCTCTGAGCAGGACCTGCAGTAATTGGACTACCTGCTGCAGATCGGATGCACTGTTAAAACTATCATAATTCAGTCCGCTGCAATGTCTGCTAGAGTAAAGCTTTAATTTTTCAGAGACCCTTTTAAAAGTGTGTCATGCGCAGGGTCTCGGAAGGTTGTAAAAGGCTCCAGCCTTCACAGGACTGCAGGCAGGAAGCCGGTCAATCTTGACCTATGCAGTATCCGCAACAAGTTAAGACTTGTCTCCTGGTTCTAGATCTAGACGAGACTTCTTTCAGTATTCCATTGTAATTTTGGTGTACTGAGGGTTGGGGAAATTGTGTTGCAGCCAGCACAGGGCTGAGAGTTTGGAGGCTTATTGCCTCTGGATTTTTCCTTATCTGCTTTAGAGCTTGTCATAAGTGTCTGGAGCTCTAAGTCAGACCTAGTGGGCTGGGTTGCCATCATCAGGCTTCCAGTCACAGGTAGGTGGGCCCTTGCCCTGTTATTGGATACCAGAAATATTTGGCCTTTCGTTCCCCTGGGGGCTGGCTCGATCCTAGAAGTTGCTGGTTCTCGTGGGTTGCTCCTTCGGGATATATGCGTTTCCCTTTTGGAGTTGAGACTTGTAGTGTGCAACTCCAAAACTGACCAGCTGGGTCGGGGGGAGGTTGTCCACCTCCCAGCGACTGGGGAGGTGGGCCTGTGCCCGGTCAAGGATGTAAGGAAGTACTTGGCCTTGAGACCTCCTGGGGACAGCCCCCTACTCATGCATGAAAATGGTCACCCTTTGGCGCGACACCAGTTCACAAAAGTCATGCGTAAGGCCATCTCTGCTTGTGGGATCTCGGCCTCTGGTTTTGCCCCTCATTCCTTTCGCATAGGTGCAGCGACTATGGCGGCCCATTGGGGCTTCTCAGCCGCCAGGATCAAGGATTTGGGGAGATGGAAATCATATGCTTTCAAGGGTTAAGTGCGAAACAAAATGCTGAGTTTGGTACTAATGCTTGTTTGTTTCAACCCTTGCAGATCCCACGCTGGTCCGCGTCTGGATAGTGGGACACAGCATCGTTCATTGGGCTGGCAGCAGAGCGAGGCAGTCTGCAAGGGGAGCGTGTCTCGGCCTCCCACAGCACGTGCAAGTGTCATGGTTTTCCAGACGTGGAATTTCATGGGGAGAGCTTATGCCGCTGATTGGTCGCCGGCTGCTCTCGGACCTGCCCACCCTATGGCCATAGTGGTGCAGCTGGGGAAAAAATGATGTGGCAACTATTGATTGCCTTGCTTTGCGCACCTCAGTCCAAAAGGGATTTGGAGGCATTGGCAGCCTTATTACCTTCAGTGAGAATAATTTGGTCTCACCTGTTGCAGAGGCAAACCTGGCGCGGTGTTTCCCGCCTGGAGGCCGCTGAAAGGGCCAGGAAGCGCATTAACTCTGCTGTTTGCGTGAAGGTATTGGAGCTGGGTGGTTTGGTGATTTCGCACCCAGACATTAATTTTAAGGCTGAGGCCCTTTACCGGGCAGATGGAGTGCACCTCTCCGATTTGGGGAATGATGTTTGGCTGGATGCGGTGGCTACTAAATTGGGTTCATGGTTGGGTTTGTGAATGGTTGGCGGCGAGCGTTAGAGCTCGTGTGGCGGTTAGGCATTGGTTATAATATGCTGGTGGTGGAGGGGTCAGGATAGGCCGTGCCTGTCCCTCCCGTTGCGCTGAAGGGAATTCCGTTAAAGGAATCCTGGGGCTTGCCATGATTTCGTCCAATCCCTGTCATGGGACCAGGGCCGCCCAATCCCTGTCATGGGAATCCTTGTCATAGGATCTGGGCCGGCAAGCTTCGGGAGCTGCTGGGGTGAGCGGCGTGGGTCCGACGCTTAGCTCAAATGACCCCCAGTTTGACTTTCTCTTCTACTGGCTACCGATCGGACCTCGGGATGTCAGTTCTGTCCCAGGCGGGGGGACAGATAGTCATAACCAATGTCTAAACAACCACTCACTGATTTTGTATTTTAATAAAGTTGTGGCCAAAATAGTGCCCAAAAACCAAAACTAAATTACGTGTTATGTGTGAAGTTATTTGAGGGGTGGCCTGGGGACCTACACACGCAACGTGGTTTTCCAAAGAGAGGTCATGCTGCCTCTCTTTGGAAAACCCCTTCATGATAGTACTGCCTCATATTGCAAAACCCTTAACTCAAATTGTTCAGAGAAAAATTGGGCAATTGCTTGGAAGTGTTAATAGTGGGAGTTTTAATGATTCAGACAACAAATATATTATTTATTTATTTATTTACTGTTATTCATTAAGTTTGTTGAGAAATGGATATTGCACTCGATTGGAATGATATGTATTTCTCCGTATCTATTGTTTTCAGTTTTATGGTACATTGTGTTTTCAATAATAATAATAATAATAATATCATGGTCAATATGGACTAAGTTTATTCCAGGTTAAAATGAGATTGCAGGGCAGCAGTTGAAGAAGGAGCAAAAAGGGTTTTCTTGTGTGTGTGTGTTTCTTTGTGACTGATTGGCTGCTCTCCCTGTGCAAAGGTCAGAGGGGGCAGGGTTTCTGTTGAGGCAGGTGATTAGCTGTGGGAGGAGCTTATCAGAGATTGCAGGGCAGCGGCGCGCGCCTAGCGGCGCGCGCAGTTTTATCCATCTTTTAGATTTAGGGGAGCTAGTCTCAAACGTTTGTTGGGGAAGACCTAGGTTTTTTTTGTGGGGGGAGTTATTTTTCCTGTCTTCACGCTTTTTATGATGGAGGACCACTGTAGCCACCCCCAACGACACGTTCTCAAGATGGAGGGAGGGAACAGCTGCAGTCGCCTGCGGTTCCTGCGCAATGCTTGCCATCTTGCCAAAGGTTGCAGGCAGCTTTACCTGCAGCAATTGCATGTTGATTGCCCTCTTAAAAGACAAAGTCCAGCAACTGGAGGAACGTGTAGCTACGCTCCAAAGAATTAGAGAGCTGGAGCTCTTCTTGGAAGCAACAGAGCACACCGTCTCCACCAAGGAGGAGACAGGGGACTCCCCTGAGAAGGACGCTAGTTCACCAACACAGGAGCCAGATATATGGAGAAACGTGACTCAAAGAAGTAGGAGGCCCAGGGTTCGCTCTGATTGTTTAGAAATACACAATCGCTTTGAGGTCCTCTCCCCTAGCATGGAAGACGAAGAGCAGACTCCATTTGAGGATCTCTCCCTCATTACAGTCGATCAGGTATATGAAGACGAGCAGCAAAGTCAGTCCTCAGGGAATGTGCAGGCGACCTTGGAGCGGACAGCTCACAGAAGAACCCCGGCCAAACCTAAGAGGAGGCGTGTAGTGGTGATAGGGGATTCCCTACTGGGGGAACAGAAGCAGTGATCTGTGGGCCTGACAAGATGTCTCGGGAAGTGTGCTGTCCCCGGGGGCTAAGATCCAAGATGTAACTGAACGACTGCAAGGAATCATAAAACCCACTGACAAATACCCCTTCCTCTTGGTTCATGTGGGAACCAATGACACTGCAAGCAATAGCCTCCAGAAGATCAAAAGAGACTACGAGGCTCTGGGCAGGAAATTGAAGCAATTAAATGCACAAATTGTGATCTCATCTGTCCTCCCAGTTGAACGACGTGGCCCAGGGAGAGAGGGAAAATAGTGGAAGTGAACAGCTGGCTTCGCAAATGGTGTAAACAGGAACGGTTTGGATTCTTAGATCACGGACTGCAGTTTCTTGAAGATGGACTTCTGGCAAGCGATGGGCTGCACCTCACAACAGTTGGGAGAAATGTTTTTGCCAAAATCTCAGAAACCTCATCAGGAGGGCTTTAAACTGACTAATGTGGGGGAGGGAGATAGTGCTCCTGAAGGTAGGAGTCTATCAATTGATGAAGATGATCATCCAAATGTCATAGACCAAATGGAGCAAACAGCACACAGACCTAGTGGTGGGAGGAAAAAATCCTTAAATAAGAGTCACGGGGAATGATTAATGGACTTCAATGTCTGTACACTAATGCGCAAAGCATGGGAAATAAACAAGATGAGCTTGAGCTCTTGGTACAGCAAACTAAATATGACATAATAGGCATCACTGAAACCTGGTGGGATAAGTCCCACGATTGGAATGTAATAATGGGGGATACAATCTATTTCAGAGAAACAGACCAGACAAGAAAGGAGGAGGAGTGGCGTTATATGTCAGGGATGTGTATACCTGTGAAGAGATCCAAGATTTAGAACCTCAAAGCCAAAGTGAGAGCATTTGGGTCAAAATTAAGGGAGAGAAGAATAACAGTGACCTCATTGTGGGAGTTTACTATAGATCCCCAAGCCAAACGGAGGACATAGATGATGCCTTCCTGGAACAGATGGCCAAGCATGCAAAAGGAAGGGAGATAGTAGTAATGGGGACTTCAATTACCCGGATATTTGTTGGATGTCAAACTCAGCCAAGAGCATAAGGTCAAACAGATTCCTCACTGGCCTTGCAGACAACTTCATTGTCCAGAAAGTGGGAGAAGCAACAAGAGGAACAGCCATTTTAGATCTGGTCCTAACCAATGTTGATGACCTGGTTAGTGGGGTAGAAGTGGAAGGATCATTAGGCGCAAGTGATCATGCTCTTCTGAAGTTTACTATACAGCGGAAAGGAGCAGCCAAGCATACTAGGACTCAATTTCTTGACTTTAAGAAAGCTGACTTCATAAAACTTAGGGAAGTGCTGGGTGAGATCCCATGGACAGTAATACTAAAAGGAAAGGGAGTTCATGATGGCTGGGAGTTTGTTAAGAGGGAGATACTAAAAGCACAACGTCAGGCAATACCAATGAGACGGAAACATGGAAGGTGCCTAAAGAAGCCAGGGTGGCTATCTAAAGAACTTTTAACTGAGTTAAGATTAAAAAGGATGTGTACAAAAAATGGAAAAGGGGAAACCACCAAAGAGGAATTCAAACAAATAGCCAGCACGTGTAGACACAAAGTCAGAAAAGCTAAAGCACAGAATGAACTCAGGCTTGCTAGAGAGGTTAAAAGCAACAAAAAAGGCTTTTATGGGTATGTCCGTAGCAAAAGGAAGAACAAAGAAACAGTGGGGTCACTCAGAGGAGAAGATGGTGAAATGCAAACAGGGGACACAGAAAGAGCTGAACTCCTCAATGCCTTCTTTGCCTCAGTCTTCTCCGATAAAGAAAACAATGCCCGACCTGAAGAATTTGGAGCAAATGATTCAGCAAAGGAAACACAGCCCAGAATAACTAAGGAGATAGTACAAGAATACTTGGCTAGTTTAGATGTATTCAAGTCTCCAGGGCCAGATGAACTGCATCCAAGAGTATTAAAAGAACTGGCAGATGTGATCTCAGAACCACTGGCAGTCATCTTTGAGAATTCCTGGAGAACAGGCGAAGTCCCGGCAGACTGGAGGAGGGCAAATGTTGTCCCTATTTTCAAAAAGGGAAAAGAGAGGACCCAAATAATTACCGCCCAGTCAGTCTGACATCAATACCAGGGAAGATTCTGGAGCAGATCATTAAGCAAACAGTCTGTGAGCACCTAGAAAGGAATGCTGTGATCACCAATAGTCAGCATGGATTTCTGAAAAATAAGTCATGTCAGACTAACCTGATCTCGTTTTTGACAGAATTACAAGCCTGGTGGATGAAGGGAACGCAGTGGATGTAGCCTACCTTGATTTCAGCAAGGCATTTGACAAGGTGCCCCATGATATTCTTGTAAAGAAGCTGGTAAAATGCGGTCTTGACTATGCTACCACTCAGTGGATTTGTAACTGGCTGACTGACCGAACCCAAAGGGTGCTCATCAATGGTTCCTCTTCATCCTGGAGAAGAGTGACTAGTGGGGTGCCACAGGGTTCTGTCTTGGGCCCGGTCTTATTCAACATCTTTATCAACGACTTGGGTGATGGACTCAAGGGCATCCTGATCAAATTTGCAGATGACACCAAATTGGGAGGGGTGGCTAACACCCCAGAGGACAGGATCACACTTCAAAACGACCTTGACAGATTAGAGAACTGGGCCAAAACAAACAAGATGAATTTTAACAGGGAGAAATGTAAAGTATTGCACTTGGGCAAAAAAATGAGAGGCACAAATACAAGATGGGGGACACCTGGCTTGAGAGCAGTACATGTGAAAAGGATCTAGGAGTCTTGGTTGACCACAAACTTCACATGAGCCAACCGTGTGACGCGGCAGCTAAAAACGCCAATGCAATTCTGGGCTGCATCAATAGGAGTATAGCATCTAGATCAAGGGAAGTAATAGTGCCACTGTATTCTGCTCTGGTCAGACCTCACCTGGAGTACTGTGTCCAGTTCTGGGCACCACACTTCAAGAAGGACATTGACAAACTGGAACGTGTCCAGAGGAGGGCAACCAAAATGGTCAAAGGCCTGGAAACGATGCCTTATGAGGAACGGCTAAGAGAGCTGGGCATGTTTAGCCTGGAGAAGAGGAGGTTAAGGGGTGATATGATAGCCATGTTCAAATATATAAAAGGATGTCACATAGAGGAGGGAGAAAGGTTGTTTTCTGCTGCTCCAGAGAAGCGGACACGGAGCAATGGATCCAAACTACAAGAAAGAAGATTCCACCTAAACATTAGGAAGAACTTCCTGACAGTAAGAGCTGTTCGACAGTGGAATTTGCTGCCAAGGAGTGTGGTGGAGTCTCCTTCTTTGGAGGTCTTTAAGCAGAGGCTTGACAACCATATGTCAGGAGTGCTCTGATGGTGTTTCCTGCTTGGCAGGGGGTTGGACTCGATGGCCCTTGTGGTCTCTTCCAACTCTATGATTCTATGATTCTATGATTCTATGATTCTATGACCCCCATTTTTCTTCTTCAGCATGTTGTATAAAATGTACGTGGCATTTGAGAACCAAAGGGCAAGTTAAACAAATAAGCTGATATCCAAAAATATCTGAAATAAAGTGGAAGGGTAGAAGGAGCCAGAATATAAACTGGATGGAGTGTAGCATTTATATCAAAAGAAAACAAACCTCTGAGAGACAGTAGGAGATGCTACTTTTTCATAAAGATAAGCAATTGTAAAGGGCATAAGACCACAACAAAGGTCAAATGCCTTTAAAAATATGGGATGCATTTTTACTAGATCAAGTCAGAGAAAGGAATGGATAGGTAGATGCAGACACAGAGAAACACACACACACAGAGAGAGAGAGAGAGAGAGAGAGAAGCAAAATGTTGCTGAAGTGCCTCCTTTTATATTTGCTTTTTGTGGGCAAGACAAATGATAATGGCTATTTTAAAGCCCTTCAAGTCTATTTCTGTGTTAAGACAAATGCTCTCAGACCTTTAACCAGTGAACATATTATTAAGCAGGACCCTGTGGATCTTGTAACTGGAGAAATGTTTGGAGAGTCTGGAATTTGTCATCAGATGCTAATGACAGAAAAGGCTTGCAGCTCCAGAAGGCTAACGGTTAGGACTCAGCTGTGCTGAGAGTGAGGGTGCTGCTAAACTAATAGGTAAATTCCCAGGGCCTGACTCATCAATGCTGCAAGCAGGGCCTCTTCATTTCCCTTGTTATTTCCTGCCCATTCTAGCAATACTGAAAATGACACCAGATTTCTTTTTAATGACAGTAAAAGCAATGCATTTGCCCACAGCCCATCATTGTTTTCCAGCGGCTAGTTTCATTCTCATGATCACTAGCAAATATGTGCTGGGAAGGTGCAATGGGTTTTGTGAGCCACATGCTATCCAAATTTTGTGTGTGTGTGTGTGTGTGTGTGGTGTGTGTGTGTGTGCACGCTTATACTGCTTCTTTCCTCTCCCCCCCTCCATGCCTTACACCTGCTGTTCTTAGGAATTGAGAAATAAGCCAAATCAGCGAGTTGATGAAGAGAATTACTGAAGAGC